GGACCCCGACCCTGAGGAGACCGCGGCCGGGGCCGGGTGGGGTCCGCAGCAGGAGCAACAAGTGCGCGCGGCTGCGGCCTCCCGAAGTTGTCGGCGGCGCCGCACGTGAGCGGAGCCTCGGCCCTTGCCCCGCGCTCCACAGGCCGGGCGCCTGCGAAACTTTCCTCAGGCGGGGCCGCCGCGTCCCCGGGGGCCCGGCTGGCGTGTGCGTCTTGAGGAGTCCACCATTTCGTGAGCGGCTTCTGAAACCCGCACGCTCACCACAGAACAGATTGTAAACAATATGGAAAGTAAGACGGTTAGTGAGCTCGGCAGGATGGCGGACTTAACACAGACGTCCAAAGCCGAGAACCATGACGCGCGGCCTCTAGACGGTCTCAGTGAATCTTGTTTTTTATTAAACTTTGTAGTGTTTTCAGGAGGTAAAAAAAAAAAAAATAAAGGTGGTGTTTTCAGGCTCAAACATGAGTGGAGAAAAACCGGGACGAGCAGTAAGTAGGACGCCAGGCGTCGAAACAGTTTGTTCCTAGTTCGTTTAGTGGTTTGTGACAGTTGGGAGGGAGGAGTGATGTTTTCGAAACTTGAGAACTTGTACTTAGAAAGCAGCGATTAGAAGACCCTGGGGACGCAGGCCTGCCGTCCTCGCGCGGCACCAGCGGTGACGGCAGCAACGGTTCCGGTGCTGTGCGACGAGGCCGCCCCGCGTGTCCCTGGTGCCCCGGGATGAGGACGCCACTGTCCCCCGCATCTCACGCGGCTTCGCACGCGTGGGCTTCCGGCCTGCCCCTTACCCACCCGCTGTGAAGCTTGTGATGTGCAGGGACCGATTTAATTCGAAGGTGGGAACCACCTGTAACTCTGCAATGCAGTCTCTGATTTAATGTATTTGGGAGTTTTTTAAAACATGGACCCCTGTGTCAGCATCCTTATTACAAGTAAGTTCTTGTAACAGTCTCATTCCATCATATACTGGGAAAGGTATTGCTGTTACTACTTCTCTAGTAGAAGGTAAGTAAACCAGATGCTCACTTCATGCAATAATGTGTTTGCCTAAATTTGTAATAGCAAATCTAAAACATCTTATATATGAAATTGTGATTTCGGCTTTCTTTGAGGACTTTCCATTTTAACTTTCTTTTGATTTTTGTCTATTTTTGAATGTCTCAATTTTTTAGCCAAAGGGAAATGTACTTAAACAAATTGACATAAAAATCCTTAAAATGCTCACAAGCAAGTAAAATAGAAAAAAAGATACTTGAATGCTTAAAGTAAGTTATGTCTGAAGAAGTGGATATGAAATGTTGTAATTGTGATACTTATTGTTAAATGTACATTTTGGGAAAATAGATTTTGATTATTTTCCAGCTCCTACTTGGTTGCTAGTCTTAATAGGAATATACAGAGCTCTTTAGTTGAGTGTTTATTTTATAACACTGAAAAAAGAGAATATTTTGTGTATTTTACTATTTGGAAAAGTATCTTAGTAAATTCTTGGAACTGAGACATTTGAGACTTTATTAACATCATAACCATAATTTTAGCTGACATTAACCAGACACATAATTATGGTCTAGTCCTTGCTGTAAGTGCTTTCCATGTATTAACTCATTTAATCCTTGCATTAGCCACATAATATGGGCACTATTATTTTCTGTTTTTCAGATAAGGAGAGACAATCACAGAATAACCACCCAGCTAGTGAGGGGCAGTGCCCAGTAAGATCCCAGGCAGTCCAGCTCTGGCATGTCTGACCACTGTATCATACTGCCTCTTTATATTCTTTTGCAGGATTGCTTTCATTATAATATGTAACAAGGGGACCATGGTATTTAATAAAATTGTATTAGCATTAGAAGCTGCATTACCTTGATTAAAAAAACAAAACAAAACGAACAAAAAAAACCAGTCTATGATTTTAAGACCTTAAGCTTTGGCTAATAGGTAAAGAAATCAAGTTCCCTAACTTCTGATACCTCAATTCATTTTCTTGATGAAATACTAGAACTTCCAGCATTTATATTCTTGACACATAATGGATTGCATTAAAAATATGTAAGCGTCTTCTTTTTGGGCTGTGTGTGTATTGCTATATTACAGATAGATGACTCTTAGTAGGGTATATTTTGGGGCCGTGTGTGTATTGCTATATTATAGATAGATGGCTTATTAGGGTATATTTTTGCTAGATTTTTGCAACATAAGGGAAAAAAGAGTGGTTAGGATTAGTAACCTGTTTTTAGTCTTTGTATGTCCCCTTTCCACAGGGATATGCATAACCTAAAGTAGTCAGTTGTTGGCATAGTCCAACGAACCAGCTCTAACTTGAATTAAGCACTGCAAATAATCCATACATTTTTTTCCCAGCTTGGGTAGGAGGGTTTGCTTTAATTTTAGAGTGATGCAGCAGTTTTGTGTGTTTATTAAAATCAGCATTTTAACCTCAGTTGATAAAGAGAGTGAATGTAGATTGAGATTTACAGGTTAATTGAAATTTTTCTTGTTTTGAGTGGATTGAAGATCCATTTTTAGTTCTGTTCCAGGTCTTTCTCATAACAAATTCTTGGCCCCTTTTAGTTATAATAGGAAGTTAACATTTGTATAGCTAGTTGTCTTAGAAAGCCTTTCTCTTGTTGCAACTTCTAGAAAGTCTGGGAAAATACATAATCATTCTTTGTTTATTATTCATTCTTTATTCTTTCTTTAATTATTGTTTTTGAACCTTTTAAATGTACAGGATGATAATGAAGATAATTCAAATGATGGGACCCAACCATCCAAAAGGAGGCGAATGGGCTCAGGAGATAGCTCTAGGAGTTGTGAAACTTCAAGTCAAGATCTTGGGTAATGTCATTTTATTGCTTAGTAATATTTTTTGTGGTATGTTTCTCCTGTCTGCATTAGCTTCCTCTTTCCCTCCCCTCAGCCCTGGCAAAGGCAGTTGTTAAAAATTTTAGAATATTTTCTTCCTGTTTTACAATATGATACCAAAGTTGGTCTTGCTACTTAGTGCAATTAAAAAAGAATTTATCATAGTAAAATACATTTAATAAAATACAGTTTTAACTGTTTTCAAGTGTACAATTCAATGGCATTAATTACATTCACACTGTTGTGCAACCATCACCACTATCCCTTTCCAAAACTTTTTTACTACACCAAACAAGTTTCATAACCATTAAACATAACTTCCATTCTCCTCTCTTCTCAGCCCTGACAACCACCATTCTACTTTTCTTTTCTATGAATTTGACAACTGTAGGTACCTCATACAAGTGGAACCATACAGTATTTGTTCTTTTGTGTCTGGCTTATATCATTTGTCTTCAGGTTTCATCCATGTTGTAGCATGTCAGAATTTCATTCTATTTTAGGGCTGAGTAATATTCCATTGTATGTATATACTGTATTTTGTTCATCCATTCATATGTCAAAGGACATTTGGGTTGTTTCCACCATTTTGCTAATGCTGTGTTTAGAATATTGTGAGTATTGGCGTTCGGAGTCTCTGCTTTCATTTGGAGTTCCCTGTTTTCATACACTCCAAGGAAATAGCTGGATCATATGGTAATTCTGTGTTTAGTTTTTTGAGGAACTGACAGACTTTTTCACTGTAGCTGAACTATTTTACATTTCCACCATTAATACTGAAAAGTTTCCTGTTTCTTCACGTTTGCCAATTTGTTATCCCCCTCCCCTTTTTTTTTTTGATAATAGTCATCCTAAAAGGTATTGATTCCTTATCCGATATATTATGATTTGCAAATATTTTCTTCCATTCTCTGGGTTGTCTTTTCATTCTGTTGATAGTGTCCTTTGATGTACAAAATTTTTTATTTTGATGAAGTCCTAATTATTTGTTTTTTTTCTTTTGTTTGTGCTTTTGGTGTCACAGCTAAGAATCCATTGCCAATAGAGGTCATGAAGATTTCTATGTTTTCTTCTAACAGTTTTCTTGTTAGCTCTTATATTTAGGTTGTTGATCCATTTTTTTTTTTCCTTTTTGTCTTTTTTACTGACCGGCAACGGGATCGCAACCCTCGGTGTTGCGCCCGCACCGTGCTCAGCCAGTGAGCGGGAACTGGTCTCCACATGGGATCCGAACCCTCGGCGGGAGTGCCGCCGCGCTCCCAAGCGGCGCACTCTCCAGTGCGCCACCAGGCCGGCCCTGTTGATCCATTTTAAGTTCATTTTTGTATGTAATAAGAGGGTAAAGATCCAGTTTCCTATTTTGGCATGTAGATCCCCAGTTTCCCAGCACCATTTTTGAGAACACTGTTCTTTTCGTCAGTTACTTTTTGAATCAATAGATGCATGAAATAGTGTCTCATTCCTGCCTCTAATTTAGAGGTTGAATTGGCCCAGATACTGAAATTTGTACTCTTTTCTGTTCAGGATTGAGATTGACTGCAGTACACTGGCACCTTCAAACTAGGTCTGTTCTTTGCTTCTGGGTTTATAGAGTTTATAAGAACAAAGAATTTATAGTACAACTCATTGAGAAATAGGTTTTTAGAGTTTTCCTTTCTTAGCTATTTGTGACTCACTGAACAGCAGACAAGAAACAGAAGTTGATTACTTTATACCGCAGGTGGATGAAATACTGGCTATGGGAGTTAAGCCCAGAAGAAAGAGCTAATATCATCACCACCTTGCTTCGGCCTCAGGTCTCTGAAGTTAAAAAATACATTTGTTCCTAGCAGTCTTGAGTCTTGATTCTTCTGTTGTACATAGAAAATTTTATTTTTGATGTACTTTTTGGATTTGATAATCCAGATGATGATTTCTCTTCCTTCTACCTGCTTTGTAATTTTCTTTGATACACACAAAATTAAGTCATAGCAAACAAAGAATTTAAATACTTAAAATAGTTTTCAAAATATCCTTAAAAATAAAAGCAATTGAAATTTAACGAAAGCCACATTTAAGGCATAATATACATTTCTGTGCTTAGCTTTAGTTACTATCCAGCAGAAAATTTGATAGAGTACAAATGGCCACCTGATGAAACAGGAGAATACTATATGCTTCAAGAACAAGTCAGTGAATATTTGGGTGTGACCTCCTTTAAACGGAAATATCCAGGTACTTAAGTCTTAGTTTATGTAATAGATTAAATCTAACTTTTAACTAAAAGTAATTCTTTATGATAGGCTGTCAACTTCTAAATTCTTGAGTGTGGATTATTTATAATATATTTTATGTTCTTGTGCTGTTGATTTTCATTTGCTCCTATCATTCATCATCTCTCTCTATTATTGATATATTCTAATATCTCATAAACTGATTTAAAAGCAAAATGAGAAAGGTGAATCTCTTGGGAAAAATTTTAGAAAAAATCATTTTATAGCCAAGAATTTTGGATTCTTTGCCATTGCTCCTTGACCTTAGGTATGGAGTTAGCTATATATAAACCACATCTAAACTTGAGAAATGTTATTTCTGATTATTTTAATACAGTTGTTTATGTTACTTTCTGTGGATTAATTTATTTTCAATTTTATTCTAACTCTTATTTCTTGAATTTATATGATTTTTGTGTAGTCCTTTTAAAAATATTTGGATATGTAATATGAAATACTTTTAAAAATTAAGTTAAGCTTTTAAAAGTTTTACAAATGCATAATGTTTCACTATTTTTAATAGTCTTTTGTTCTTTTTTTGGAGATTTAGAGCGACGAGATTTGTCTCACAAGGAGAAACTTTACCTGAGAGAGCTAAATGTCATTACAGAAACTCAGTGCACTCTAGGTAATAAAAGACTTTAATGTGAATTTTTCAAGCTGAACATTTATGAGGTGATATTGATAAATATTTGTATTTCCTTTCCTAAAATATTTTTAAAAATTCATAAACTAAATTGAACTATTTAAATGCTAGATCATTTACTTCATTTTTTATTACTTGTAAAATGCATAGAAGAATGAAACTTCTTACACCAATGGTCCCCACCTGAAGATGGTTCCACTTAAGATTTTTCGACTTTACAATGTTTTGAATGCCATACACGTTTAGTAGAAACCGTACTTTGAGTACCAGTACAGTCATTCTGTTTTTCACTTTCAGTACAATATTCAGTAAATTACATGAGATATTCAGCATTTTATTCTGCCCAACGGTAGGCTAAATGTAAGTGTTCTGAGTATATTTAAGATAGGCAAGCCTAAGCTATGATGATTGGTAGGTTAGGTGTATTAAATGCATTTTCGACTAATGATATTTTCAATTTATGATGGGTTTATAGGGACAACCCTGTTGTAAGTCGAGAAGCATCTATATTCTCTAAGAGAATATAATTTTCTAATAGTAACTTTCAGAGTTGTCAGAGTGTTTGTGTTTTGTGTGCAAAATTTGTACAGTATTTTTAAAAGGTATTGATTTTTGTCTCTTAAAAAGCAAGTTTTGGGCCGGCCCGGTGGCGCACTGCTGCAGTGTGCTGCTTGGGAAGCGCGGCGGCGCTCCTGCTGAGGGTTCGGATCCCACATACAGACCGGCCGCTCACTGGCTGAGCGAGGTGCGGGAGTGACACCGAGGGTTGCGATCCCGTGGCCGGTCCCGGTCCGGTGCGGACGCGACACTGAGGGTTGCGAACCGTTGCCAGTCACGAAAAAAAGACAAAAAGGAAAAAAAAAGCAAGTTTTGCTCAGTTTTTACTTCTGTGTAATTATCTTCATGCTTTATCTGTAATTTTCTTTAATAAGCATTTTATTTTATTTATTTGTTTGTTTGTTTGTCCGTCCGTCCGTCTTTTTTGTGACCGGCCGCACTGCGCTCAGCCAGTGAGAGCACCGGCCATCCCTATATAGGATCCGAACCCACGGCGGGAGCGCTGCTGCGCTCCCAGCACCGCACTCTCCTGAGTGCGCCACGGGGTCGGCCCTTTAATAAGCATTTTAATGTAACAGCTACTTTTTAATATAAATTCATGGGAGTTCATTTCAGCAATTGGTGAAATCTGCTATTGTGAGTTTTGAAAATTATCTATATGATGTGTATATGTGCTGATCCTTTTGGTGAAATCTGAATTGTTTGTAATATTTCTAGTTATGGAATTTGAAGACTAGGAACTACAATACATTGAAAACTGTTTTTTTTAACTCATCTAAATATCTTATATTACTTGTTAGTATTTAGTGTACCTCATTACTTCACACTTGTTTCTAAGTAAAGGTATATGTGCTTAGAATACATAGAATCTAAAAAAACTCATTTGGTTGAAATACTGATTTGTTTACCCTTGCAAGACAATCTTTTAATTACTTAACTTTATGTTATGAATATTATTTTATAATTTTCAAATGTATTAAGATATTTTGTTTTGACTATTGGAAAACCTTTTTAACTGTAGAGTAGCTCAAAGGAGAAGCAAGTTTTGAAAAGCAGTTGTATTCACTTGCCCTTAAAAGAACTTCTTCACCCTTTTATCTTTTTTTTTTGGTCTAAAATAGGTTTAACAGCATTGCGCAGTGATGAAGTGATTGATCTAATGATAAAAGAATATCCAGCCAAACATGCTGAATATTCTGTTATTCTACAAGAAAAAGAACGTCAACGAATTACAGACCATTATAAAGAGTATTCTGTAAGTAATTGAGGTGACTAGCATCTTTTATTTGGGAGAGAGTGACATTTTGTAGTTAAATTTGACTTCCAACTGTAATATTTTTATTTCAGCAAATGCAACAACAGAATACTCAGAAAGTCGAAGCCAGCAAAGTGCCTGAGTATATTAAGAAAGCTGCAAAAAAAGCAGCTGAATTTAACAGCAACTTAAACCGGGAACGCATGGAAGAAAGAAGAGCTTATTTTGACTTGCAGACACATGTAGGATGACTTAAATTGAGTAGTCCCTGGACCTTGCTTACTGCTTGTTACTTCAGAGTGCACATTACCCCTTTATTATTATTGCTTTGTACCAGCTATGTGTGCTTTTCCTTCTCAGAATTTAAGAGATTAATTTTAATGATGTGCCTAATAATACTCAATTTACTTTTTTTGTGTGTGAGACATCTTTTGCTTTATGGTTGATATTCTACTGAATGAGACTAATAACAGCTACATATCATACTTGCTGTGTGTCCCCGAGGGTGGTTGTAAGAGATTTCCATATTAATTCCTTTAATTCCCATAGTAACCACGTGAGGTTGGAACTAGTATTATTTCCATTTCATAGATGAAGAAGTTGAACGACAGAGAGGTTGTATAAGCTGCCCAGGTCACACTGCAGTTAAGTGGTGAGCAAGAGACACTGCCTTTCCTCAGAAATGCTCATGGTGAACAGGCAGATAAAACTATCACATGTAGAACTAGAAAGCACCAACAGTCCCATTAGATTATAGCTCCCAATGTCTCTTAAATTTTTAGCTTTTTTGTTGGGGAGGGGGTGTGCAATGGAGAGCACATGGGGGTTCTTTGCCTGAAGCCTTGATTCCTAGTGTGGCATCAGTTTTGTGTTTTGCTCTATGTTAACACAGGTCATACAGGTGCCTCAGGGGAAGTACAAAGTGTTGCCAACAGAGAGAACAAAGGTCAGTTCTTACCCCGTGGCTCTCATCCCCGGACAGTTCCAGGAATATTATAAGAGGTATTCAGTAGTTTTAGTTACAACTATTCAGTAGTTTTGGTGGGCTGTCAGTGAGGGGTTTCAGAACCTTGTGTATACTTGCCTCCTAACAATTTTTGGGTATATAAATATCACCATAAGATGTTACATAGGATTTGTGTCAATATTCATTATTTTCTCTGGTTCTGTGGTGAAGAATACCCTTCAGTCAGATTTGAACATCTGCTGACAAAGCCTGGATTGCCCATGTCTCTGCCCACCCTGTTTGAATTTGTCATAGACAGGTGCTGGAGGTTCTCTAGCATCTTTCTGCTCAAAGTATGGTGCAGGTCTCGCAGCACTGGTATCACTCACAAGCTTTCTGGAAATGCAGAATTCAAGCACCCAACCCCAGACCTACTGAACCAGAGTCTGCATTTTCACAGATGATGTCACCTCCAGATTAGAGTGTGGGAAGCACTGACTTGGACTGCAGAGGAGAGGAGGGGAGGAGTGGAGAGGCCATAGGGCAGGCGTGGACACCTGGTTGCTCCAGCCATATTACTGACCTGGCCTGCGTGTTGCTTCCAATTTGTAAACCAAAAAACCTGAAGGGAACTGAAGAAAGCAGGGCTAACAGGTTAATTTTGTTTCAGAATCTCAGCTTTAAACATTACTCTGGAAGGAATAGAATAGAGACTGTTTTTTAGAGAACAGAATTTAAATAGAGTGTAGAATCGTACTGTTTAAAAGTCAAATTTAAATCATGGGTAGAAATTTTTATTTATTTATTTATTTTGTGTGTCAGCAAATTATCAAAATTTATATGCGAGTATACCAACCTCTTTGCTTTTTGGTGTGATTTCCTAGTTGAGGGAGATGCTGACCCAGGGTCCCTTCTTGAGTGAGGGCTCAACTGAGGGTAGGAATGAAGGTGGCGCTAAACTTTGTCATCTTGATGTGCTATCTGGCCGTGGGGAAGGGATTGCCAGTCTCTAGCTTCAGACAAAGTAGATGATTGAATTTGTTAGAATATGATGCCTCACAGATGGGTTAAAAATAACTTAGTACTGAAAATTTTATTTTTTAAATTATGTTTTCAGTAATATGTGCCACGCACTGTTGTGATTCACATGATTAATTTATTTAATCCTCACATCAGTCTGTCAGGTAGACTCTGCTATTACACCCCCTTTACACGTGAAGGAATGGCAGCACAGAGCAGTAGTAGTGACTTGGGAGGTGGATGTGAGCATTCGGCCGGACCTAGGGCCCAGGCTTTTATGCACTATTCCGTGTTGCCACAGTTTCACCCTTGCCTGCTGACATTTTATTATTTTCTTTTTTGGGTTAAGGGTAAAGAGAAGAGAGGGGTTATCTTTTGATAATGAAAATCAAATGTGTATTTTACATGATCAGTCTACTGTTCAGGCTTTTTTATTTATTACTTATCCCCACATGACCAAAATGAATAATTATCTCTAGTCATTTTTCAGAAGTATTTGGTGTTGAGAAGTTTAAGGTGATCTTAGTAGCTCAAAGATTAGTCTATTTGTATTTATCAGTAAAGGAAAACCGAAAGTAATTTTTCTGAACTTTAGGTACTCACCAGATGAACTGCGGTATCTGCCATTAAACACAGCCCTGTATGAGCCCCCTCTGGATCCTGAGCTCCCTGCTCTAGATAGTGATGGTGACTCAGATGATGCTGAAGATGGTCGAGTTGACGAGAAACGGAAAAATAAAGGCACTTCGGTAAGAATATCTTTAGTAAGAAGCATTTCCTTTCCCTTTGAGGTTTTGCAATTAATAATTGCTTTCCTGGAATGTTAAGTTGAACTGTGTCAGCACCCTCTTTTTGAAAAAGCACAGTGCATATAATTTCCAGAGAAGGCTTTCATCAAGAAAAGTTATTTATTGTTGAGTGTTGATATAAACAAGCTGTGCATGGCCTCTGTTTAAGTTTTATACTGAAAATCACCCCTTTGTTGTTATGAGCAGGTTAGGCAAGGGTACTGAACATTAGTTTGTGATCTTTTGTTTTTTTTTTTTCTTTTGTCTTTTTCCGTGTCCGGCAACGGATCACAACCCTCAGTGTTGCCCCCGGACCGGACCGGGGACCGGCAATGGGATTGCAACCCTCGGTGTTGCTCCCGCGCCTCACTCAGCCAGTGAGCGGGAACCGGTCTGTATGTGGGATCCGAACCCTCGGGCGGGAGCGCCGCCGCGCTTCCCAAGCGGCGCACTATCCAGTGCGCCACCGGGCCGGCCCTGTGATCTTTTGTTTAACTTGCTGTCTATATAGCTTAAAATAGAGACTTAAAATAGACTGATTTCTTGCCATAGAGAAACGTATTTTTCTTGATTTGAGGAGGAGTACATTAACTTGTGTTCTTGTTGTTGATTTAATCTTAGACTTCTTACATTACATGTTGTACTGGTAGTTGGGTTTTCCTGTATGACTTTTTTTTTTTTTTCTTTTTAAACAAAATACACTTGCAGACAGTGGTAAGTTGGTGTACTCTGTGGAAATGAAGGAGAACCAAAACCCAGTGATGGTATAGGGCTTTGATCTTAATGATGACACAGGGCTTTGATTTTCTTTAGCACTGCATTTTAAATAACTGGCCATTTTAAACTTTTCACTGTAGCCAGCCTGAACCTCAGAATGTGCTACCATGGGGTGGGCATTAAATTTCCTTAGAAGCTGTGATCAACAGCTTCTAAAACATATTTAGTAATACTTGTTACATAAGATAAGGTGCTGTTCAAGTATTAAGGTGGTGATACCACTTTTCTCCTTTCTTGGTGTTGAAAGGGGAAGTTGACTTCCTCCCACACTACTGGGGATATAAATTAATCCAACATGTTGGGAAAGCATTTTGACAGCATACTAAGAATTTTAATTTTCACAGAATTTGACCTAGAAAATCCACTAATAGAATTTGTCCTAAGGACTTAATCAGATGCTGACAAAATGTAATTAGAAATGTCTATTAGAATGTTAACAGTATTTCTTATAGTGGAAATTAGATGTAAATTTTAACATTCACAGGGGGCGATATTACATTTATAGGATGGAAATGCAGTTCAAATAATATTTAATGACGTATGAAAATGCTTTAAAAATACTAAAATACGCACACACAGTGTAATCTAGATTTGTGTTTTAAAAAATGAGCGCACATTATAGGGGGGTGTGTGTGAGAGAGAGTCTGGATATCTGTATACATGAACACACACCCAAGAAAAAGATCAGGAGATGCTTCAATGTTCCCAGTCCTCGTCTCAGGGTTAGTGTGGCTGTGGATAACGTAATTTTTTCACTTATAATTTATATGAACGTAAAATTGTTATTCTGATTAGAAAATTTTAAATTATAAAGTGAATTAAATGGTCAAATATTGAGGTCTTAAAGCTTGAACATGTAAAATATGTCAGATACTGCTGTAGATAGTTGGAGATATTGGCCTTACATAGTTTAACATTATGAAAAGACAAATGTGTGCTTGAAGAACTTTTTAATGACCTTCATTCCTAAGTGAAAATACCCACACTTATATGCAACAGTATGTTTTTGTATGATACAAATATGTTCCTTTGTAACATGAAAAATGATGTTGAAGCTGTGTGGCATAATAATAGCTGAAGCAGATAATTCCACTCTTGTTGACTTAAGTCAGAAGACAAAGTTGATTAAGGCACTTACTGATATAAATGGAATTAGCTTTACACTATATTGTACTTATAAAAAGGAAGTTATTTTTAACATGACTTATTTTAGTCTCCACTGGAAAAAGCTTTTTCATACTTAGATTGATTTTTTAAAATTTTTAATTGACAAAACTTCCATTTTTTGAATATATTTTGTAGTTTTCAAAATTAAGACTCAAATCTGTCTTAATTCCAAGGAATTTTTGTTTTTGCCTTTTAAACTCCAGGACAGCTCCTCTGGCAATGTATCTGAAGGGGAAAGCCCTCCTGAGAGCCAGGAGGACTCTTTCCAGGGAAGACAGAAATCAAAAGACAAAGCTGCTACTCCAAGAAAAGATGGCTCCAAACGTTCTGTACTGTCAAAATCAGTTCCTGGGTACAAGGTAGAAGAAAAAAGCCCCTGACTCAGCTTCTTTACTGACCAGCCTCTCTCCCTGAAATATTTTAACTTTGAATTTCACGATTGTGGAGCTCCTGCTTGCTGAACTTCACTACCTGTTCTCCTGTGGTGTGCCCTCTGTCAGCTGCTTTCTTTTTGCTTTATTTCCTGGTGGCTTTTCTGTCACTTTTGGCTATGGTTTAGCTTCTGTTTCCTGTATATGAACAATTTATGAGTCATTTTTTTTTTCTTTAAATAATAACCAGGCAAGTATGGGTTTTTAAAACATTTCATAGGCAGATCTTTATACTTTCTTTCCTCCGAGTAATGTTCATAATTATCTGGCATTTTAGTATAGCTAAGCCTGCTGAGCTGTAAAGTTTGGGTAGATATACTGTTAGACTGTTATGTTGCATTTCTGTAGTGCCTTTCATTAGGAAAGATCTGGGTTTAATCTAAGGATTATTTGACCCATCTGCCAAATTCAGCGAACTCTGGGAGAAAATAGTAAACCTCTTATTTACATTGTGGTAATTTTTAGCATTACTTTGGCAAATAGCCTATATAATTCTATGACAAGGATTAAAACATACTTGTTAACTTTTTGATTATTCTCAGAGTAAGATAGTAGGTTGTCAGCAACTATTATTATTTTTAATGTTTCTTCCGTCTGCCTCTCCCTTTCAAAAGGTTAGGTGAGAGATGAGTAGCCTTATTGTCATATAGGGATTTAAGAATATTATAAAAGGAATAAAATTAGCTGAGCAGTTTTATGTTTTGGATGGTGATAGTAAAACATACAGTTTCTTTGGTCTGGAAAGTATTAGAATATGCTTTTCATTGTGATTACGAAGGTGTACTGAAGGACAGTTTTAGAGTGAGGTGATGAGAAAGTTTTGCCGAGTGAAATTGTGAAGCACCTTGTCTATGTCAGAACTGGGATTGTGGTAAATAATCCACAGGAACAGGCTGAAGTGAGCTGTTAGTCACCTTCGCTTTAGCCTAACCAGAATACTTCCAAGCAGTTCGTTTACCTTTCTTTTCTTGAAGTAAAAAAAGTGACCTAACAAGGTAGCATATTCCATATTTTATTAGAAAATGCCTTTATGTAGTCAACTTAAAAACACACGTTTTTGCAGACTATAGCAACCAAATTTTAAGCTTTATTCACCAAGGGTTGGCTTCCAAGGGTGGCTTCAACAGGCTGCTGCTATGTGATTTTTATATTTCTTTTTGCATATATAGCTTATCTAATTTTTTTAAACTAAAGATTTAAATTAATGCTTAATAATTGAAAGCAAATGAACTCCAAAGATTAAGTTTTGTAAACTTAGCCTATGTGAATGAGTGTGTGCTACTCGTCTGTTAAGAGCTTCAAGTGGGAGTGGCAGCTCAAAGCACACTGTCCTGTTAACTCTGTTTTGTAGATCTTTCAAACAATAATACTGATTGATCATGGGTTAAAAAAAGAATATTGAAGTAGATGTTTTAATAAGGCTGAAAATGAACTGTTCAGTACCATTATTGATTTAGTGTATAAAATATCATACAGATTAAACTAAGTTAATACTCAAGGGAGTCTGATGTGCACAGTATACATTTTACAGTCTTTTGTGAACATTTTTAGTACCTAAAAATGTTTCAGGTATTTCAAAGATGGGAACAACCAGTATCTAGACATAATACATTAATGTGAACGTGTTTATTAAAAGTTAACCTCTCTATGAAAAGTATTAATAAGCCAAGATGTGCCTAAAGATTAGGGTAGTTCAAGCTGAAGTGCATATATATGTGTGTGTGTTTTAAAATATGGGAGTTAAGAAACATGATAATGTATCTGATGTCTTGCTTATTAATAAGATTCACTAGTGCTTGCCCTTAATTTGTAGGACAGTATTGTTTAGGTTACATTAACCTGGAATTAAAGCATAATTGTTAGGATTCAGGCCTGTAAGTATACAATTAAAATCTATACTATATTAGTGCTACCATGAAAGTCTCACTTATCTTTGGCTGTTTTTCAAGCAGAAAGGAAGTGTACTGTGAGTCTTCTATTTGAGAACTATTAGGATAAGTATTTTAATTTTTTTGTCAGTAGTGAAGCTTCGTTGTTGCATTATTAGGAGCAGTACTGTGTCAGTCTGACAAATGCAGGGTTCTGTCCCTTTCCTCTTCAGGGCAGTTCCGCACATTGTCCCTTCCCTCCCTCCTCAGCTCTACAGTCCCCTGAGTGACTAGCTTTCCAACCCACTATTGTTATTTGATGTGTAAAGTCCTGGATGCAAACATTGTGGCTTCTTAGAGAGCTCAGATGCTTGAATGAGCAAAGCACTTTTGTATGTTGAGCTGTGGCATCATCATAGAAAATGCTCCAAAGCTATCTCTCTCCCCGTTCTCCTTCTGTCTTTTCCTGTTTTCATCAAGATGAAGACTGTTGGGTAAGAAAAATTTTAAGTGGTTTAACAAAACACGATTCAAGCTTAGAAGTAAACCTAGGATTTTCCTTGTTTCCCTTTCTTCATAGGTGTTCAATGTATATTTAATAACTGTAGAACTTGAATTGCTCTAGAATGTGAATGACTAGCCTTGTGTGTTGTTCCTGTTGACTTTTGTTTTGTAAAGGATCTCCTGTGAGGAGTACTCTTTTTAGAATTAATATTGTGTGGTTATTTCCCTGACTTTATTGAAAGATATTTGGATACTTACTATGCCCGTATCTAACTTAAACTACAAGTATTAAATAAGTATATCTTTTATATTTAGTGTAGGTACCATAACCAAAAGTGATTCTTAGTTTTGGTGGATTGAGAGGTAGCTTTCTGCTTTATATTTTGGCAGTTACAGATTTCATCATAACTGAACCAGAGTTTGGATCATAGAAGTGCACTTCCTAGCTGTTTTTATTTAGGTATAGGAACACATGATGAGAAGCTTATGCTCAGAATGTAGCAGTAACAACAGAGGGTAACTACACTGCAAGACTTAAAAGGTTTGAGCATGTGACACTATCCTTTTGTTGGGGGGAGCAGGGTATAAAAATATACATATAGAAGATGTAGAATAGTTAACAATAAAGTTTTATATGTATGTTTAACTACCATATTTATTATTTTGTAGAGACATTTGTGATTGTTTAGAGTTATTGTTTTTATTATATTTATGTATAAGGTTGACTTTTTAAAATAAATAAGCCAAAAATTCTTTTTGAATGCCTCTGTCATCTTTTGCAAAGAAAGATAATTTAAAAAATAAATTAAGAATTAAGAATTGTTTAGGCGTAACAGGTTATGAAGGTGGCAGTGAGACATTTCAAAGCTGGAACACTATATACAAGGTTTGAGTTTTGTTTAGGTTCCTCTTTGGTTCAGTAATGTAGGAAAGGGAAGTACAAGATACATTTGACTAGGTTGGCATAAAACAGAAATGTAAAAATTCTACTTAACGAGATTTTTCTCCCAGTTCATATATCGTGTATGCCCTCTGCCCCATTTCGTTTTTAGCCCACACTTGCTCTACCGTTTTTCTACTACTGTTATTTTACGTATTCCTATAGTATGCGTGAGTGTCATCTTGTAACGGTCAAAGCTGGGATGTTCGGGCGCCCTCCCTCCTCTGGCAATTTCAGGAGCCCTTTTTCCTTTGTCATTTTTCTGTGTGTTGCCTAATATGTTTAAAGACCAGAAACCTTCACTGGACTGTGATGTTTTTAACATGAAAGAGGAATAGTATTCAAAATATGAGTATTTGTGTATTTTTTAAGTGACTACAATTTCTTTTTTGCTTGTCTGAACTTAAATTTTTCCATGATAGTGTTTTATATTTCACAGTGAATGCTTTTTTCCTTAAGTGTAGGTTCTTTTATCATCTAGGCAGAGAATAATCAGACAACTCAGTTTTCCACAAACATGTATGTACATAAATGTATGCATGAGACATCTTTCAATTAAAATTTTTAAAACATTGATTTTTTATAGGTCTAGTTTTAAAACTTTGCAAAATACCAGTTTTTAAACAAAACCAATATATATGCTGCTTAAAACTTAGCCTTCTCTTTTATAATCAGCCTGACTTAAATATAGTTGTCATTTGGTACTTGGATTTTCTCTTCCCATTAATAGTGACATTTGACATTGTATTTAGTCTTTCCTTCCAGTTGATTATACAGATCTTACTGTGCACATAGGGAGTGTAGAATGCTACATCTAATCTTAACATGAGACCATGCTACAAAATTTTAAGATGAAATTTAAGGCTTTCATCAGTAGGCCATCATATGTTGTAAGCAGACTCATGTCTTTCAAAAAGGTCCTTATTAGCAAGTTACCAGAAGTGAAGGTAAGGCAGTAAAATATCAGAACTCCTTTTGAACCCACAGTAAGCTCTTCTGGCATGAATTTATAGCCCTCTTCTACCCTTCCAGCCAAAGGTCATTCCAAATGCTATATGTGGAATTTGTCTGAAGGGTAAGGAGTCCAACAAGAAAGGAAAGGCTGAATCACTTATACACTGCTCCCAATGTGATAATAGTGGTAAGTATTGAAATGTCTTCTTAAAATTTTAACCACAGTATTTGTTCTTCAAAAACTATTTGTCAGCTAGACTTCAACCAAAGAGTCATCAAATATACAGGGTAACTTGTGAGGCATAGACAAAGTCCATGTATTTTCTTCTATATTGTATTTTCATTTCTCTTTGGCGATTAAACATTATAGCCATTCTTGGGAAGTAGTATTTTATATGCCCTATTAAGTTAAAAATTCTTGTGTGAAGTACTACTAATATTGGTTTTGATTTAGGCCATCCTTCTTGCCTGGATATGACCATGGAGCTTGTTTCTATGATTAAGACCTACCCATGGCAATGTATGGAATGTAAAACATGCATTATATGTGGACAACCCCACCATGAAGAAGAAATGATGTTCTGTGATGTGTGTGACAGAGGTTATCATACTTTTTGTGTGGGCATTGGTGCTATTCCATCAGGTAAAGATTAAAAAAAAATAAGAACATTATCTTTGAGGGATGAGACTCTGGATATTTTTTTTTTTTTTAAGCTTCATAAATACTATAATGACATGACTGAAGCTGCAATTATCCAAGTCATGTCCACCTGCTTTTTATCCCTAGACAACTCAACAAAAGGACAAATGAGATGTCAGAATGCCTAGGCTATGTTTTGGGAGTATAATTCAATGTATGGAATGAGCTGGTGATTTTCCGCTGAAAAAGATAAAATAACAGAACATCAGTTTGTTTGAAGGCCTTGATTTTATTTTCATACATCATCTATTTAGAAACTTAACAAAGTGACTGCTACGCCTTTATACATATTAAACCAGATTTCTATAAATTGAGGCAGCATGAAAATTCCAGCTAACTTTAGAATGAACACAGAATCCAAGGAAAATCACAGTAATTGGATTAAAACATTACACAGATAATTGTGTAATTTCAGAACTTATTTGCATAGTTAACACTGTATAGTACTCTTTAAAATATATGCCTAGAGCTAAGTTTCCCGGGAATCATTATGAAGCAAGCAACTTTAAATATTTAAAGTTCTGTAGTAATTTAGATAAGGTTTGTAGCATAGTTTAACACTGTGCTGTTAATAACTTGAAGTTTTAAAGTGCTGTGTCAGCACAGTACACCAGAACTTGAGAATGTGCTGTTGGACACGGATCTGCCAGTGCACAGCAGGGAGCAAGGCTTAAAAAGCCAAATTCAGTTACAGGTTTCATATTAGGATTTATATTATTGAACTTTTAAAGTACAAGAGTGCTTTAATTTTAGGATTATAATTATTTTATAAAGGTCCATTCCATATCATTGTATAGCATTGCTTTCCCTAGGCCCCCGCTTGACTTGCACTGAATTTTGCATGGCATTGATTACACTTATTATTTTAGGGGAAGTTTACATTTTTCTCCTTAAATTAAGGAACTCCTTAATGCCCTTTCCACCGAAAATCCACAGGGGAATATCATTGATGACAGCTAAGGAAAGAGAGCTTAAATGGGTTTCAAATTCAGTCCTGTGAAAGTGTAATTTCATTCTATATTAACTAACAATTTTTTTCCTAGGTCGCTGGATTTGTGACTGTTGTCAGCGAGCCCCCCCAACGCCCAGGAAAGTGGGCAGAAGGGGGAAAAACAGCAAAGAGGGATAAAATAGTTATTTGACTAATATTGTATATGCATTTAAGTTGAATATTTGGTGCCAATTTACAACATTTTCATTTTTATGCCAATAAAAAAAAATTTTTTTTGAAATTAACTGTGAGTTTAAAATCTGCAAGTTGATTTATTTCTGTTATAAGCTATTATTACCCTTGGAACTAATTCCAGGTAGAGAAATAGTCCATCTTCCAAATTATCTCTTAGTATTTCAACTCTCTCCAAAAATTCAGTGGAAATATTTAGCAACTTAATTTGAAATACTAAACTATTTCTTAGTTTGAAAAGTTCCTATTATTTTCATGAAACTTTCTTAATCTGTATTGTTTTTGGCCTGCCTTAGGTAGCATAACAAAGTTTATAACTAAAGAATTTTAATTAATAGGTAGCCCAAGATGGTAAAACAACAAATAGCTTAATTAGGTGCACCTGGATTTACAATAGCCATTAATTGGCACAGGAACAAAGTTTGTAAATACCTGCCTGCCTGGAAATCCCGTTTGGATAAAAGGTATCATTTCTGCTTGGGGTACAGGCATGGGAAGTATAAATAATTCCACTTCTGGCTTGATTTCAGTAACTCTTGAAAAGTTACACATTAAACTTCATTTAGAATCTCCAGAGTAAAATTAGAAAATTATCAACCTGTTAATCTGATCTGTTTAACTATAAAAGGTTGCTTTATTTTGATTTCTTTTACTTAAATCTGAGCTCCTGCAATCTTTCTGTTTAGTCACCTGACAAACTAATCGAAATAGTTTAAGCATTTTATTTTGCAAATTTATTTTATAGGAATTTTGATCTTTAAGAGAAAACAAATATCGTGCTTGCTGCTTTTCCTATTTTGGGGATAACTGAGGTAACAAAACCGTATGGCTTTATTTTTCCATCCCTTGACTAGAGAAGGTTAACCGCAATGTCAGCTAGGTAAAAGTAGCAGAGTTCACAGCAGACTGCAATCCACTTCACAGATAAAGGGCATTGTACTCCAGAGTGTGTTGAATGTATCAAAAAAGGATTTCAAGTACCAGTTTTAAAATACTAATTAATATGGTCCACAGAACAGATTCCTCTTCTTGAGAAGCGTCTTCTGGAGTATAAGCATGCTTCTGACTTGTGTCTGCACCGTCTGAGGAATAAGCAGTCTCACCAAATGGGTACTGTTCGGCGGTTGTATCGTAGTAGACTTTCATTTCAAATTCGCTCTCGTGGTGCGATGGGTGTCCGTAGATGCCTATTCCCACAGGGCGCTGGAAGTGTGCTGGTATATAAACGACATCCTGACCACAAGTGACTGCCTGTAATTCATAGTCATCAAAGCTTGGGTGGAGAGTGCTATCAGATATGTACAGGTCTGCATCCCCTTTTAAGCTCTGCATCTTAAGAATTATCTTTCCCTCATGATTTAACCTCAAATAGCTGTAATTCCCAGCTCCTATCTGACCCTGAACAACATGCAGCAGGATCCATTCTTCTGGAACGTCGTCGTCTTCAGAGCAATTCACCAAGGACATGGCTTGGGATGCCAGAAGCATCAGCAGGGCTCCCTTCCAGGGGGCTCTCCTGCCGGGCGCGGCCATTGCTGGTAGTGCTCAGTGCAGGGGCTCCTCATCTGTCAGCGTTCTGTGGGTGAAACCATGGTTGACACGCTTAACCACCATTGCCCGTCTCCACTGCATGCAACCGGTGGTGTTGGCCAAGAGCGTGTCCAGGCCCGTGGGAGTCTTCAAGCCCTGCAATTCCATTGCAGGCCCACCCCGGGGGCCCACCACTGGCCCAGAGAGGGGACAGAACAGAGGGGAAGGGACAGCAGGGGAGGGGGGACAGGAGAACAGAAGAAGGGACATCAGGGGAGGGGAGAGGAGAACAGAAGGGACAGCTGGGGAGGGGGGATAGCAGGGGACGGGAGACAGCACAGAGGGGAAGGGAAAGCCGGGGGGGGGAGACAGAAGCACAGAGGGGAAGGGACAGCCGGGGAGGGGAGACAGG